ACGGAATCTCACTCTGTCGTCCAGGCTAGAGTGCAGTGGTGCAATCCCGGCTCGCTGCAACCTCCGCCCCCCGGGTTCAAGCGATTCTCCTGCCTCAGCCTCCCGAGGAGTTGGGATTATAGGCATGCGCCACCACGCCCGGCTAATTTTGTATTTTTAGTGGAGATGGGTTTCTCCATCTCTGAGGTCGGGAGGCTGGTCCGACCATGCCCGCCTCAGCTTCCCAAAGTGCCAGGATTACAGGCCTGAGCCCCCGCGCCCGGCCAACTCTGGACGATATTTATTGCTCTACTTTTTAATGTCTGAAGCATAAAGAAGAAGACAGGAAAGAAACTTCGATCTGAGGGTTGAGGACACGTCCTCAACGCTTCCTTGATCAGCAGAGGAAGATCAAGCTCCCAAGCCCACCGTCACCTTGACACGCAGACCGGTTACCAGCACTGAGAAGAGGGGGCAGCCCCGCCCCGCCCCGCCCCGCCCCGCTACGCCGCCCGCCATTGGCCGGTCCGAAAGACGCGGGGCGTGGCCGGTTTGAATGCGAGCGCCTGGAGCCGGGGCGCAGGCGCAGAGGAGGGCGGCTTTGAGGCCGGCGGAGCGGCGGCATCCCCTAGGTGGCGGAGGGACGCTCCGGGGAAGCGAGGGGCGCCCGGAGCTCTGGCCCACGTGACCTGCCGGGGGCGGGAGCAGGGGGCTGCCTGGGGGAGGGGCGTGACCACCCGCCTGTCGCCCGAGGCGGCCGCTGCTGCAGCCTTGCCGCGCACCAGGAACCCGGCTCGCCGGAGGTGAGCGCTGCCGCGACGCGGGGTCTGAGGCGTTTGAGGGGCTCTCGGAGGGAGGTGGCAGGGAGGGGTGCGAGTGGGCTTCTTTGTCTGGAGGTCTGGGGGCTACGTCCTTTGTTCCGGGAGGAGGTCTGGCAAGGGGCTTGCGGCACCTCTGGGCGCTGCGGGGATGCGGCGTCCATCCAGGGCGTCCGGCTCCAGAAACTAGAAACTCAGCGCGAGGAGTTGCTGCTTTTTTGTTGCAAAGTCTTAAAATGAGAGTAAAGCGCAAGAGCCTCGTTCCCGAGTCTCTTTTTAAGATAAAAAGTATGCTAGAGCTCAGCGACTTCATACGTACTCTGAATGTGAGTAACAAATAGTGAGTTAAAGCCCGAATCCCCGTGAAATTCAATCTGAGGCTGATCGCGATCACTTGGAGTCGGCCGCGTCCCACCTAAACCAGGCAGTTTATAGCAAACACCTGCGTTGACCATGTTTAAATTACTGAATTTTTGGGCACCAACTGGTCAATTTGCCACAGAAATTGGTAGTTGCTACAAAAAGGAAGTAAACATAAAATATTAAGAAAACCCTTTTCTGAAATCTATAGGATACCTTCACATAAAAAGTGAAAAAGATCTGTAATTTCCTTGTTTTAATAGTAACCAACTAGAGCATTTGAACTAGTAGCATTTGAACTCTGTAAAGAAAACGGGTAACGGTGGAAATTTTATTTTCCTTAATGCATAATTTAACCGCACCGTAGAATTAAACGAAGAAGGTTCTTGGCTTTCCTTTCTGTTGAGTTTGCGCTGGAACGTTCGTGGGGTGTGTTGGAAGTTAACAGGACCAACCGAGCTGAGCTTTCAGCTGCCAGTTTAGAAGGGCGTACCGAAGATTTCTGGCCTGATAATAGCCGGTGTGATTGCATCTGATAAATGCCACTTTTGCTTGGGTTCTCACTATTCAAGAGCAGCTTTAGTAGATTGTTTAGAAGTGAATAAACAACATTAAAAAGGGAAGATCACTGTTGGTTGACATGATGTGTGTAAGAAGAGTTGGGGGGGCCTCCAGGATCGGAGCGGTCTCACACCTCGGCTTCTTTACAACTACCATGGAGTCGTTTTCGCAAGCTGTTTCCCAGGCCATTATTTATAATTTAAGTATTGGAGCGGTTACAAAGTAAAAAGCTGTGCGATATTGTTGTAGAGGCATGTCTCCAAAATCCAAAATCCTCTCTGGCCAGATAAGCAGTTTAATTGTATGTTCTGACGTTATTAAATCAGCAATTCGGTTTTACGAACATATTTTAATATAAATCTGAGACTTGGTACTA